TTGCACGTGAAATTCATGCAGAAATGTGCATTATGTGACTCTGGGCCATAACTGATCTGTGTGAAAGCCTATGATGGTACCAGAGCTCATTGGGAACTTGGAGAAGACTAAATGGAGGAAGAGGTTCTCTGAGATAGGCTGCTATATCAAAGGTGGCATCACTCCAACCAAGGTCCAAACTCAACGTCAGCAGTGGCTGGAGCAGAATTGGGTACAGGGGCAGCAGCAGCGTGTCGGGTACATGGGTTTTCCCAGCAAAATCTTTGGTTCTCTGAGGCTTCTGCATGCTCCCACAGGCCAACACTGATTGCATCGTCCCTGGATATTAATTACGATGAGAAACACTTTCATGATGTTTTTCAAAGACCTGCAGCCACCGAGAGACCAATTTGTGGTGGCTTCGTTGTCAGTGCCACCCAAGTGTAAAAATTAACTTCTCAGAACAAACATGTTTGGAAAGAAAACTTTTCCGGAGTGTTTACGGGGAGTATTTTTAATGTGAAAACCCAGGAGTATTGCTATCGCATATATCACATCCACTCAAAGCCAGTAATTSAAGTGGGAAACTGCTACAGAAGATGTAATTTGGAAAATATGTGTAAATGAGCTGAGTGATGACCTATCTTGGTTGCATGGAGTTGAATAGTCACCTAGCGCTGCCCTTGTGCGCTCTTGTGCCATGTGTTTCCTCCTTCTACCACGCAGGGCCAGATCCTACCTGGAACACTGGAAGGTTGAGGTTGGAATAGACCACTATAGATCATGTAGGACAGCACCCTGCTCAAGTAGGGTCATCTGGAGCACATTGACTTGGAACCTGTATCCTGGTGGAACCCAAAAGTGCTCCAAGAATTGACCACCAAAAAATGATTTGTGATGTGACCACAAAAACAAGATAATCAGGGGAGAGCATGCAGTGAGGGAGAGGGGAGGAATCAAACTGAAGCCAAGGCACAAGAGCAGTCTTGGGAACAGAGGGTGGAAGGGAAGAATGTGGAAAGAGGTTCTGGGAAGTGGGAGAAGAACCTTAGGAAGCACCAGTGAGACTCAGGCCACGGTGCAAATACTGGAAGAGCAGCAACTCACAAGCTGAAGCAGCAGCCTGGTAGTGGAAGAAGGTAGCTTGGACATGTCTTAGGGCAAATTTGTGGATTTCCTCCTCACTGGAAGAGCAGGATTCATCTCGCAGCCCTGTCATGACCTCCCTTGCTGACATCTGAGATTCTGTTCAAAAACAAACTAACAAACTCTGCATTAATCCCATCTCATGCTTCACAAATTAAAACAAACCGGGATCCAATTTGGTTTCCTTAGGCTTCCAGGAAGACCTCAACTGCTTACCAAGCCCTCAGGGATGATTTATTGCCCCAGTCTCCAAACATCTGAAAATTCAACCCCAGGACCTTGGATCAAAAGAATTCCTCGCAAAGCCTGACCTGTATTTTATCTTGACATGACCTCCCAGGAAGCATCACGGGTAAAATGACCTTGAGGATGCCCCTAGACCTCTACCCCTAGACCTCTCCACCTGGCAGAAGTCTTTTCCAGCTCATTTATTTATCAGACATGACTCTAATTTGGGTAATAAGTGGATCTAAGCAAAGGAAATTGGCATCCAGTGGTCTTTTTGTTATGTCTCCTGATAACCTTGCAATATAAGTGGGTGCATTATCCCAAAGTTACTAATACTGCAGTCAAAGCTGTATTTTTCTGTACAGTATCCAAACCTTTTCTCATCTGATGCTTTCCCTTAAGGATGACCAAGGGACAGTAGAGGTTCTCACGTAAGCAGCAAGTGACCATAGGGCTCCCTGTATGGTCAGTGGAGAGAGAGACCTGCCAGGAAGGAGAATAGGAGAAAGAGTTTAATTTGGCAGCCCTGAATTGCCCCACTGTAGGTCTCTTTCTGTTGACTATAGAGTCAAGTGGAAAACTTTTCATACCCTGGCCTGCATTTCCTGGAGTTCCTCACAGCTCCAAAGGGTTGTCGTCTTTCCCCTCTTCCTCAGTTGCTCTTGAGGAAGCCTGCAAAAGAAGAAACAATGAGCTTTATAGATAACTTCTAAAGGATGGAGAGGACAAGGAGATGAACTGCTCACAGAAGTGAGATCCACAGGTGTCTGAACCACTTGTCCCAATCACCCACATAACAGGATCGTAGACTGGGAGAAGTCAACATACTTAAAAGTTGTGCTTGGAGCAGTCTTGGGCTCTTGCCTAAGTGAGAATTAAGAATGTGAGGCCAAACTGCAGGGATTGCACTCAAAGAAACTCCCAATATATCAGAGAGATAGAGAGGTCCAGTCCAATGCACATTGTCTTCTGTGATTGCTTGCTGCTTATGTACCAGAAGAGCCAAGTATCATGCTTGACCTGACCATGCATCTCCCGGATCAAGGAGATATAGCTAGAAGGTTGAGTCTGAATGTGGGCTACGTCCACGTCCAGGAGCGTTGCTGCTGGCTCCTATCAGAAGTTTCCTCCTTTGCTATAAACTCTTGGCCTTGCACTAACTCTCCAACTCATGCCATGGGTTAGGTGAGCAGGGAAGATGGGACTATCCTGTTTCCACGGCCTCCAGAGAGTGACTCCAGGCATTCAAAAGGAGATGTCAACAAGAAGGCCAGTACTGAACCATGGGAAGAAAAATGTGGTTTTCCTTTGGCCTTTCTCCACCACCCATTCTCCAAGCTTCATGTAGAACTTCACTTTTCAGACTTTGTGTGGTGGAAACCCTTCGGTTGCTCCTCTTGATTACACAAGTCCAATGTGTGGTTTACATCTGTTCTGACCTGTGGAGTGCAACGGGGGAGCTCAAAACTGGTGAGATTATCTATCATGAAAATAAATGTGTGTCTCCTAGCTCAAAGCAAGAAAACCTCATCAAGATCCTCTCAAGGGACAAGGCAGAGAAGCGGGGTAGTTCATTCAAAAGATGTTCAATAACCCTCGTGCATCTGGCAGATGATTTATTGCAGCAGCTCTGCACTTACCACTAAGGACAACACTAGGGAAGGAGAAGATCCTGTTATCACTTTAAAGTGCAAGTGAGTTATAGTTTATATTTTTCTGCTAATATGATAATATTTTTCAAGCTAATTAAATGTTTCGTTTTGATCTACTTTTCTTCTTGTGGAGTCAAGGATGGAAAAAAAATAGTGTAATATATGTCAACAGGCTTCGAGAATACGAATTTGATCTACTACGTCTGAAAACAACTTCAAATCAATGCTAATTTTAAGGACATTACACACTGGAAAATGTAATTCAATACCATACATTATGTGGTTTCTATAGGACAGTATTGTTTAGATGAATTACGTTCTTTAAGCTTACCAGCTTTGAACTAAATAACAAGAAAGAGAAATGCAGGATTGCTTAGATGAAAAGGAGAGAGCACACAAAACGTCAGTGGTATTGAAATCTCAGCGGGGCATAAAATCTATTAATTTTTAATATTAAGTGGATTTCTTCTATGTGCACATGACTTTCTGGGTGAAAGGAGAAYTTATCAGAACATTACCAGAGATTTAATGATGTTAGGAAGCTGCTTGAGACCAACGATTGCTTTCAGTTCCTTGAGGCGAAACACAAAACATTTTCAGACAAGCTATATTTCCCTCCTCTTAAATCTGGGGTAAGAAAAGGCAGAAAAAATCTAATTTAATTTCCTTTTTTTCGTCTCTCACTCAGAATATAACAAAAACAAGGGTGGTTTTTTTTTGAATCTACATTTTGGGTTTCATTTTTCTGATGCTGGAGAAAATGAGGTGTTTCAAAAGGAATTTGTGCCAAAAAGATTTTTATGTGTGCAGCAGCAATTGGAAAAATAGAATAAAGTAGAGTTTTCCAAATGCCTTTTCTATTTTCTCCCTGCATTGAGCAGGCAGATTCCATAAGGTTTGGGCAGAATAGTCCTTAGTAATGGACATTAAATCATTAGGTGCAGTAGAGGAAATATTTCCATTGAGAGGAAAGAAAATCTTTGTAACATGGAAATCTCAGGAGCACGTAATGGAAGTATGGAAAAATAAGTGGAAAATGCTAGGATACTCTTTTTTTTTCCTTTTTTTGCTTCAGAAGAATGAATGGAGAACCAGCACAGTTGAGGAAAGCACACATATCATGGCCTTGTCCATCTGAGATAATTTGTGGTCCTTTTGATCATTTTTTGGGTCCTTTCTGATCCTTTTTTGATCCTTTTGATCCTTTTTTGGATCCTTTGGATCATTTCTGATCCTTTTTTTCCTGATTTTTTTTTCTTACGGAGTCTTCGAACTTCATGACTCTCTGAAAGGTTTCTTACTGATTACCCCAAACAAAACAAAACAAAACAAAACAAAACAAAACAAAACAAAACAAAACAAAACAAAACAAAACAAAATAAAATAAAATAAAATAAAATAAAATAAAATAAAATAAAATAAAATAAAATAAAATAAAATAAAATAAAATAAAGCAGGCAACTGCTCAGGTGAAGAATGGATTCAAGGAGCTACACCCGGAAAATGCTCCTTTTCCCAGAATGGGAACCCAGTGGACCTGGAGGTCTCTGCATAAAGAGTGCCCAAAGTCAGGGTAGGTGAATCTTCTCCAACCCATTGGAGCCAAGGTGTTCATCAAACCTCCCAACAAAGCCATGGTATGCATGCCTTGTTCATGGGACTGGAGAGTCCTCCAGTGGATCAGGGAGTCTTGTTCTCATGACTGCTACCACTGCTGCAAAAGAAAAGTCAGATGAGTTTTTGTGACCCTTGTTTCCTTTTTGGCAACTTCTAAACGTGGGAAACATCACCCAGAACCACATTATCAGCAGAGAACTTAAACCACAGATTTGAGACTTCACATGCATGTGACCCAGAGTGGTGGAATTAAGTGCACTGCAAAACACTTGGCTCCTCCATCAGGTCCTTGGAGAAGCTCCTGACCCCACAAACTCCTGTGCACAGGCCAGGGCTGTCTCCTCACTCTGTTTTTCCCTGCAGGTGTTTCCACCAGCCATGGAGAGCTGCAGCAGCAATGCTTCCACTAAACACTTCTTCCTGGTCGGCTTTCCAGCTTTGCAGGATTTCCAGATGACCCTCTTCATTGTGTTCTTGTTATTCTACCTGCTCATCCTGGYTGGTAATGTCCTTATCATCACTGTAGTCCTGCTTGACCCAAAGCTCCACAAGCCCATGTACTTCTTCCTGATAAACCTCTCCGTGCTAGACGTGCTCTTCACAACCACCACCATCCCCAAAATGTTGGCCATGTTCCTGGCCAATGCRAAAACCATCTCGTTTCAGGGCTGCTTCCTGCAGATGTACAGTTTTCACGGGCTCACAGTCACCGAGGCGCTGCTTCTGGTTGTCATGGCCTATGATCGCTACGAAGCAATCTGCAACCCACTGCACTACCCGGCCAAAATGACGAGAAGAGTGAACATCCAGCTGGCCACGAGCGCCTGGCTGATGGCACTGCTCGTCCCCGTGCCTGCCATCGTGCAGACCTCTCGGTTGTCCTACGGTGCAACAACCATCGTTTACCACTGCTTTTGTGACCACCTCGCGGTGGTGCAAGCGGCGTGTTCGGATTTCAGCGCCCATTTCCAGACCTTCTTGGGCTTCTCCATTGCCATGACTGTATCCATCATTCCTGCTCGTCACCCTCTCCTACATCTGCATCATCGCCTCCATACAGAAGATCAGCTCCAAAGAGGGACGTGCTAAGGCTTTTTCAACTTGCACTTCGCACTTGATTGTGGTCGGCACCTATTATTCTTCCATTGCCGTTGCATATGTCTCTTRTAGAGCAGATATTCCCGTTGACATCCACGTAATGAGCAATGTTGTATTCTCCATTTTAACCCCCCTGTTAAACCCGATCGTCTACACTTTGAGAAATAAGGAAGTGAAATCTGCAGTTAAAAAGCTATTTTTTTGGAGAATTTCTCTGCTTCCTAAAAAAAATCACTTACCTGGGTAAAATCAACAGCAATATAAAGACTGATGCAAAATTGGTCCTTTGTTTAATCAAGACACCTTTGCCTTTGGAGTCTAGTTTGGGTCTTGTCATCTCTGGTATATCCTTCATTAATGCATTTCATCCTGTTTCTAGGAAGTTTTTAGTGTACTTGCATWAAAAAAATTGTAATTTTCTACAGTAGTTTATAGTCTTCTGCGACTAAATCACTGACACACTAAATAAAGCTGTGAATGCACTGAACAAAACTACACGAGAATGATAGTACATTACACTCCACGTTACGAAACAGAAGATTCATYATTTACTCTCTCAATTTAAAATTTCAGACACGGTAGCAGTTATTTTTCTGCGTAGATTGTTATTTCTGGGTGAGAAAATAGTCTACAATATTACTTTCTAAGACTTCAGAACTATGGGAAAARAAAAGACAAATTTAATTGGCAACAGAGTTTGATGAAATGCTTTCTGCGTGCAATATAGCACTACCAATTTCCTCTTTTATCATATAGTCTGATTCAGGGATTCCCGTATAACGAGGGCTAATGAAGAGAGCCAATGAAAAGAGTCAATAAAACACAATGAACTAGAAGAGGCAGAGATTCTATCAGGCATCAAAAAGTATGAATATTTACCTGGGGCTCACTTCATTCACTTTTTTTTTTTCAGAGCAGGCAGATATTGTGGTATAAATGAGCATCTCTAATTGTTTTCAGCAGTTCTGTTTTTGTAACATACCAAAAAATACCTCTCTTCTACAATGTCTATCTTTGATGGACCCTTTCAAAATACATTAAAAGGGTCAGCTGAAGTTGTGCAGAGTTGAGCTATCACTCTTCCTGCAGGAGCTCACTCTTCATTTTCAATAAATCAGCCCATTTTCCACTCCTTATCTACCCCTCAAGCCAGGCCAGATGCAGATGGTGGAGGAGGAAGGACCAGGGCTTTGCTCAGGCAAGCTCCTGTGAAGGATGGAGCTGGAGAAGAGACTATTCAAACTCCTGATGACTGACGCAACCTAGAGCATGTCCATTGCTTCGAGAACCAACATAAGACCAAATGAGTGCCCGCTATCAATAAAAAAAAAATCTTTAGATCTTTCCCCCTCTTTTGATGGAGCTTTATCACTTCTTGGCGTGCATCTGAGCAGAGCATGTCCAGCGAGGTGGGTTGTCATCAGACAAGAGAAGACCCCGCCAGGTTGGCTTCTACAAACATAGAGTTTAGCCTCAGGTGCTGCTGGTCTGTGCTGTCATTGAAAATGTACACAAAAATTGGACATTAAGTCAAAGATCTGTAGCCCTTCCAGGAGAATTACGAAAGGGTTAATCTGAAAAATGGAGCACTTTTGGAGCAAGAGGTTATTCTAAAAATGGTTAAAATAGAGACCCAAATGTGCAGAGCAGTTTCTCTGTTACGAGAATGAGAGTGGAAGCATGAGTTAGGGTTGCCAAAGGTGTTGGTGTGTCTGCTCCTGGGTTGCCCATCTCCTCCTTCCGTGGGGCAAGTGGCAACGCTTCAGCACGTTGTTGTTGCACAGAATCCACTGACATGGAAGGTGAAATACAGAGCAGGGGTGTGCTCTGCAAACTGGGAGCTGATCATCAGTTCCTGACATGAAGGATACACAGATTTTCACAGAAAGATGGAAGTTCTTTATCTCCACCAAGGATCTTCTAGACCTACTTAGGAACATAAGTTCAAGAGCTTTTATGGGACAAGCTAATGAGTTTTATGGACTTGCAAGATTAGGCTGTGTTAGAGAGGGAGCTCCATGGATCACTGAAAATCGATTTTCCCTTGGTCCCAGTCATGCAGGATGTGGCCTTAATTTCCCAGGAAAATACATTAGCTTCCCCATTGCGCACGCTTGGCGTGGTGGTGACTTGAAGGCAAGAGTGGCTCAGAATGGAAGCTCTGCTCAGGGCTGATGATGGATGACCACGTTGGGTGGAGAGTCTTGCTCTGAAAATCCAGAGRACAAGTACAGATCAGGAGGACTTGGGCTGCTTGTCTGGGAAAGAAGGACAGGGAAGAGGGGCTCAGACTGGGAAAGCAGGTTGATGGGAGGGTCCAGCAGCATCAATGAGAGAAGGTCCTGGCTGTGGTGGATGCAGGGGTCATGTCCTGAGTAGTGAAGCTCAGATGAGATTGGTGCTGGGGGAGGCTGGACAGAGGAGGTTGATAACGAAGCTGAAGATGATGGATGAGGAGATGCCACTTGTCAATGTGAAGAAGCCAAATGCGAGGTTGAACGTGATGCTGGTGGAAGACCTGGTCCTGCAGTGGGCAATGCGAGGAGGGCAAAGAAAGGCAAGAAACTGGAGTGGGGCCCAGGTAGGGAAAAAAACCTGGATTTGGTCCTGGGAAGGAAAAGGATCCTGGAGTGGCTCCCGAGAAGGGGCTTGGGGGGTCATCTTTTCTGACGCTCCACAAAACAAAACACCAAATTCATCCAAATGTATTTCTGCCTCCTCTGCATCACTTGTGMTAGAACTTTTAGATTGAAACTGGCCTTTTAGATTGAAATCTCCTCTTAATTAAACGTGTATAGTGGCAAAGAACCCTTCACAACCTTCAGTAAAATGTTCTTATTTTTTTATTTCAGTGGTAAAAAACTAAGCCTTATTTCCACTTTGATGTTATTCATTTCTAGTTTGCTGTCAGAAGATTTTGTTCTTTTTTTTGTCCGACACCAGATCTCTGCTCCTCATGTAAATCTACATATAAGATGATCAAACTCTCCCTTAATCTTCTTTGATGAGCTAAGTGAAATGGGTGCCCAGAGATTCCTGCTGTAACGCCTCTATTCCCAACTTTTAACCTTTCTTGTAGTGGTTTTCTAAACACTCTTCATATTTTAACACTCTCCTTGAAGGGTGATCAAAAAAAACCTTGATATAATAATCCTATATTTGTTGTACTGTCATCAAAAGCAGATTATTGCTAATGCTTTAAACGTTCCCTTCCTGATAGACATAGAAGGATGGTTTCAGTCAAGTTGTCAAGTAGTTTTTCAGAAGTATTTCCTAGAGAAGAGCTCTTGATAGATTAATTTTAGTTATGGTGAATGTGATATAAGTTGTTTGCATGGATTGTTTCAGGTGTCCCAGCAGATGGAAAGCAGGCAGCACCCASAGGTGCAAGGAGACAGGCACAACAGTGGTGCTTAGCCCAGAGGGTATCCCCAATCCTTAGGGCTTGGATACCTTCTTCTCCTGAGATCCACAGCTTGGAAATCCCTCTGGAAGTCTTRTCCTTAAGTCCCTCTGGTCAGGAGAGACGTGAGGTTGGCCCAGATCCAACTCCCTCCTCCACCTACCAGGAGCCTGGTCCATGTCTCCTCTTGCTTCACAGCATCCCAGCCACTCTATTATGTGCTGCTTTGGGTCAAGGGACCAGAAAGTTGATCAAAATTCATTGCAATTGAGAGAAAAAGCGAGCATGGCCTCATTAGTATGAACAGGTCGTGCGGTGATGTGCTCTGAGGACTATATTGCATTGATTAGTCATGAGAAAAAGCAGTAATTCAGCTTGGAGAAGGGACCAGCTTTCAGGTCTTCCCATCACCAGGGGACAGGAGGCCACCAGCTGTCAAAAGAGTGTGATGGGATTCACGGGAAATGTCACAGAGCTGTGAATCATAGTTGGAAATGAGCATCGCTCCAGCATGCACGCCTTATTTTCAAGATTATTTTAATATAAAGCTGGTATTTGGACCTCTGTCCTCTGCAAGTTGCACTGCTTTGTCACTGCTTTGTCACTGAGCACATGGGACTTTCTGGGCTCTCCTGAGGAAGCAGCTGAGCCTGCCATGACAAGGAGTCCTAGTTCTGCACCAAGTAACAACATCATAATTTTAGGTAGCTTTTAAAGGGAATTTTCACCTTCTTTAATGGGAGCAGCTCATTCACATGGCTTAGCTGGATTTTAGTCTAGTTTAGTTTGGTTTAGTTTAGTGTAAGACCTGATGCTGGCTGAAGAAGGAAGCAATGAATTCGGTTGGCTTTGGCCATTCCTTGGATGCAACATCTGCATTCAAGAGATATTATCAAAATAATATTACAGAAAATAGCTACAATCCCAGGATACTAAAACCCTCTCCACTTCCCTCATTCCTTACCTTCGACAGCAGAGTTATTCTCCCTAACACACAGAAACCATTTCCAGTTAATATTATTTATTATCTGCACTGATAGCACTATAATAATATCTAGAGGGAATGTGCCACTTTGTGTTACAAGACATCACATCCACATAATCTGTAGTTCTGCTCCAAATCTTCATTGGAGTTTAAGATGGAATAAAAAATATGTAAGAATCACATCTAGCAGAAGAAGCCTGCAGATTCTGAGCGTCAGTTTTTCAGACAGAGCTAAGTGTATTTGCGCCTTGAGTCTATTAATGATTATAACCCTTCCAATCCTTTCTAGCTTAAATGCCCAATTTGTATTTCAGCCTGAATAACATTGTAAAAAGCCTTATTTTTTCATCCAAACTGTAAATTTTCTAAACTAAGATATCCCAGCAGTTCAGATCACTCTTTCTTGAGAGAGGTCTTACAGGAAGACCACGACTCTGATTTTTTTTTTTAATGTGAATAGGGGAAAAAGATCAGAAAATGGAAGTGTCAAAGCAAGCAAATGATCTCAACATCAGTATTTTCACCCACTTAATGAGGGTCTCCATGGGAAAGGTGATGGTGGAAGTCTCTGGATGTGGAACTCATCATTTCCCTGGTGGTGGAGCTGCCTTTTTCCTGCAGTCCTGTAGCACTTGGTGACATTGAATCTGTAGCACTTGGTGACATTGGTCTGTGGCACTTGGTGACATTCATCTTTGGCCTTTCCCTTGCTTTTTTGTCTGTGTTTTTCTACTTACATTTGACTTCATTTCTTCCCTTCCAGAAGGCTACATGACATTGGCGGCATATTTGTCACGCCGAGAAGGTCTGAAAACAATTGAGGGAGAAAAGGCTCTTTTCCTTCACACGCAGAAGAAGAAAAACCTTATGGCACAAACTCCAGGGAGTCCAGGCAGCATCTGGGAAGCCACTTCGGAGTCACGCTTTACTGCAGCTTTCCTCTGCAATGGCTTTCGTCAACRCTTCTTCTGAGGACATCTGCACAGCTGTGAACCATGACAGGAGCTGGAGGTCCTTCCCATCCATCACCCTTGCTTTGCTTCGTTATCTGTCACATCAGGGTGGTGACATCCAGGGGTTTTTGCTATTACAAAGGAGGGGGCAGCATGAGAGTCCTGGCAAGACCTCTCTTTGGTCTCACACATCTTTATAGTAGTCTTTAGGGTAAGAAAAATGAGCAGCATCTATTGATATGGATTGGGAGCCAGCTGATGTCCACGCCAGGACTTACTGCTCTACAAGATGACCTGAATCGTAATTCACAGAGGTTTTAAGAGCAAAATGCAGCCTGTCCATCACTTTGTGTGTCTTTTGGTCCTCAGATTTACTGTGCACAGCTTGTCTGGTTATTCCCACAGAGCTTTTTGGTCTTCCCAACCTGTGTGCACTTAGTGAGTAGACAGAAATAGGGGTTCCCTGTCGAACTTGAATCAAAGCTCTTTGGTCTTCCCAACCTGTGTGCACTTAATGGATAGATAGATAGAAATAGGGTTTCCCGGTCCAGCCTGAATCCTGTAACCATCCAGAAATATTTCAAATTTCTTGGCTGTGTCCTTTGCCTGAGAAATGTCTTTGCTTTGTTTTTCTGCAATCTGCTTTTTGATTAAAACGCAAATTATCCTCTTTCGTCCTAGCCCAGAGGCGTTTCCYTTGGCGAAGCATTTGCTTTCGACCACAGCACTGTCCACAGCCTTAAGCTTAGCTGCCTAAATCAAATGGAAGTCAAGCTAGTAACGCTCAGCAAGGTCGCTGCTGAGGCAGGAACCTGAGGATAAACTTACAGCAGCATCTGGGAAAGACCACGCGAGTCCTTGGCCTGCGATCCACCGGTTTGCCAGGTCTCCCCTTTGCATTCCTGGAGCAACACGCGAGCTAATCAGACCTGTAAAGCTGAATAATTAGAAGTGTGGATGAACCCAGTTCATCGCCTGTGGGTCAGAGATAATTTTTGCTCTATTTTTCTGCCCTCTGGGTACCTATGTGCAGTGTGATGTAGCCCTGGCAAGAGTCAGCTCTCATCACAGCCATTTCTTTTTAATCCTTCCCTTAGCATCTCTGGTAAGCTTAATGTAGGCTGACCTAAGTTTCACTCTTATGTATTATAAATTAGGTAGCCCTTTTATCCTGGAGGCCTACAGGAATCCATGAGCATTACTATAACCCTCCAGTTATATCCATGCCTGGTTCCTCCTTCTTTATACTTAAATAGTCTTCATTTTGTTATTTRCCCTCACAACAAAACCTCCAAAATAGGAACAAAGCCAGCGTGGATTAAAAAAATAATAATATTTTGCATAAGTTAATAACTGGTTAATAAAGATGGTTCACAAGGGCAGAAACTATGGGGGTGGCCTTGGGTCCCAGGTAGTTTGTCTGGATTTTGTGGGCTAAAGGAATGAATAAGCAGAGAAGTGACATCTTCTTATGGCCCAATTTGTTAATGAGAGCTAAAATGAAGAGGGAAGWGCAGCAGAAGGATCAGATGATGCTGAATTGACTCTGCATTCGAACAGCAGCATAGATGAATGCAGAGCAAGGTGCAGGAGCAAAGCCAAGCCTATTGCACACACTAACGAGCTCTAAATTAGCTATTATTAGTCTGGAAGGGGCTTGAAAATAACCACAGAGTCCTCTAAAACTTCTGACTTGTAGGTGGCTGCTCAGTGTTGAGCGGGGCTATTGGGGACCCTTCCAGAAGGGAGGTCACATTTGGGAGGATGAGGATGGCTCCTCTGTGTGCACCGAGTTTCACCTGCTCCMGACACCAGTGCCTTACAGCCCTGGGGCTCATTTTTGGGGTTCTTTCCTCAAAAACGTTGCAATTCCTCCCTAAAATGTTGCATTTTCAGGAAGGCAAGACACCTCGCTAAGGTTTTGGGGCTTTGTACCCCCACATCAGGTGGGGTGGGAGGAGCCAGAAGAGGGAGGTGGGGACAAGCGGGATGGGTGGGGCCAAGTGGGATGGGTGTGGCCAAGCGGGCAGGGCTGGTGGCAAGCGGATGGGTGTGGCCATGGGGGTGTGGCCAGGTGGGGTGGGTAGGGCCCAGTGGGGTGGGTGGGGTCGATGGCAGGTGGGTGGGTGGGGCCAGGCATAGTGGGCGGGGCCAGGTGTAGTGGGCGGGGCCAGGAGGGTGACAGCAGGAGCTGGGCTGTGGCTGCGGAGAGAGGAGCAGCAGGTAGGTGGGAATGGGATGGGATGGGATGGGATGGGATGGGATGGGATGGGATGGGATGGGATGGGATGGGAACAAAGGGATGGGTGGATGGATGGATGGCAGTTGGAAGTGGGGCCGGGTGGCAGTTGGTGATAGAACAGGCCCAGGTGGCAGTTGGAGGTGGCATGGAGTAGAATGGAACAGGGTGGCTGGCAGGTGGAGAAGGACGGGACATGATGGGGTGGGTGGCAGGTGGAGGAAGGACAGGATAAGACGGGTGGCAGGTGGAGCGGTGATGGGATCAGTGGGAGGAGGAGGAACATGTCCAGGGAGTGGTTGGAGGAAGGATGAGGTGGGATGGGATGGGATGGGATGAATGGCAGTTGCAGAAGGGATAAGATGGGAAAGGAGGGAACAGGTGGAGGAGGCACCAGGATGGTGGGAGGTGGCAGATGGGCCTGGGTGGCAGTTGGAGGTGGTCTCGGCCAAGAGCAGTGGGTACCAGGCTGGGGCATCACCATGTCCCAGCAGGGCTGGCTGTGACACGATGAAGGTGGACATGGCACAGAGGCTCTGCCCGTGCCCTCCGGATGTGGGGATCGCGGTGCTGATCCTGCTCCTCTGCTCAGGTGAGGGGCAGCACCTGGGAGCCTGGGGACGGGGTGCGGGATGGGGGACACGGGGTGTGAGACAGGGACATGGGCTGGGGACAAGGATGGGAACGGGGTGAGGAGGATGTGGGATGGGGGTGTGAGCTAGGGACCCAGAATGGGGACACAGACTGGGGACATGAGCTTGGGGACACTGGTGGAGGGATGCAGCCTGGGGGACACAGGCTGGGGACGTGGGTTCCACCCTGGTGGCAGCTGGGACGCCAAGGGAAGGGATACAGTCTCTGCTGCCCGGGATGTGGCTCCTGGCCACTGTCCTCCTCTCCAGACTGGCTTGTGGGCTCTCACAAAACACCATTAATCCCAGAATCCCAAGATGGTTGAGGTTGGAAGGGGTCCCTAGAGATCCAACCCCCTGCTCCAGCAGGGACATCCAGAGCACGGGGCACTGGCTCCATCCCGGCGCGKTGGGAAGGTCTCCAGAGCAGGAGCCTCCGCAGCCTCCCTGGGCAGCCTCAACCAGGGCTCGGGCACCCTCCCACCAAACAAGTTCTTCCCCACRGCCACATGGAGCTGCCCGGGTTCCAACCTGCCCCTTGTCCTGCCMCTGGCCACCATCAAAAAGAACTCAATTAAAGAGCTCAGTTAAAGAGCTCAATTAAATTAAACCCCGCTGCTGCGTTTCCTGCCATCCGCCATCAGCTCTGATTCTCCGTTTTCGCTTGAGATCAAAGGGCATCATCTTGCAATTACCGAAATCATCTAATTGTCTCCCTTTGAAAAACGTGGCTGGGCTTTCTTGTCCTCCAGGCTTCATTTGCAGTCGGTATTACCAAGAGCTCTTCAGGCAGCTCTTTCATACCTCTTATTCAACACAGATGGACTTGCACATTTCATCATGTCAAAYTTTAAAACAACTCCCATTTAAAATCCTCCTCCTATGTCACAGGCATGGATAATACTCCATCAGATGGTGTGAATAATGCTCTTTTTTTTCCCCTTAAACACATAACAAAACCAATTCCTGATGGCTCAGCTGATGGGAGACCACCACAGCTTGGTCCTGTTCAGATACCTGCTTTCAGCAGCTGATTTCTTCTAGGTGTTTATGAGATGTCCAGGATCCTCTACTCGGAAATAACAGTGCCAAGGAAGCTGCAGCCAAGGGATGGGGCGCTCGAAAAGGTCATTTGCTTTTTAAGAAACTGCTGCTGGTCTGGCCAGCACCTGCTTTAGCTCCCCCAGACCCCAAATCCGAGTCGGGGCTGCTTGGGATTTGGGGAAATTGTGCTTTTTTCCCCAGCCCCATGTGCCAGAGGCTGCTGGGGAAGCAGGAGCATTTGTCACTTCAGGCTCGTGGCTGTTGAWTTCCCAAAGACTTCTAAAAAAGAGCTTTTTAATTTGAATTTCTAATTGTTTCGAATTTTCTCCTTTTTAAATGCCATCATCATGATGCTTCAAGGCTACAAAGGGGATTCTTAAAAATGAAGAGGCTCCCRAGAAGGAGCCTTTGGCAAAGGGTAAAACGGGAACCGTGCAAGCAATCAAAATCTAAAGGGTTTGAGGCCAACCTAAGACTTTTAATATTTTTCTTGAAAATATCTCAGCCCTGGGAATCCAGAGCTCAAGTTCTCTTTGACCTARAGTTGGTTTCACTCCGGAACAGACGGAAAGGGCGAAATTGAAGTCCTTGGGAAGCTGCAAAATGAGGGATGTGAGGCCAAAATGTGCCCACTTGGCCGCAAAATTGTCATTAGTGGGGAATGAAGGGACTAAGCAGGCTGAGCGAGGGGGGACCTCTTGAGAAGATGAACCCTTGGGCAGATCACCCTTGGGGACAGGCTGGAGGAGAGGCACCAAGGGGTGTCCATGAGGGTTGGAGCTGCTGAGAACATTAGCTCTTGAGAACATTAACGTGCTGCATCTCCAATGGTCTAGGAGGACATGTCGTATTTGATAACAGCAGAAGGAAACCGCCACATTGTCCACCTCGTGCAAACRAAGTGAGTGTTCGCTCCGTCCTCTCCTGCTCCTGCACCAGCCATGGCCCTCCTGCACAGATTAATTATCGTGATTAATCTGCTCTGTTGCTCCTCATGGTTGAGCACAACTGCCCATCCTCTTCCTGCCCACTCTCACCACTGCCCCATGGGCTCCCAAGGGGGATCCTTGGTCCCATCCCTTCCTTGAAACAGGGTCAGATCAGGTTGCTCAGGGTTTTATCCAGGCAGGTGCCCTTTGCATCATMTATAGGGATGGGCAGCATTCCTGGTGTGCTATGAGCACCCACACAGGCTCTCTCCTGGCATCCCTCTCCACGGGATCCTGGGGAAGCCCTGGTGTCCAAGGAAGCACCTGGGGACRTTCATCACCTTTTCTGTAGACCCTGAAGGCCAACCTTGGAGCAGGAGGAACTTTGATCAGAAAAACAGCATTCCAGGGATATTTGCTATGTGGATTGATGGGATTGTTTATGTCCAGGGCTTAAATGCAGCCACGTGCATGAGGAGCAGGTCAGATGCACATGCTCAACGACCACAGTCATTCTTATGTCCATAAAAACAGCATTTTTGAAGTACATAAATGCATGTTTCTTGGGCAATAACCTTTTTTGTCCACTTACCACCACCTCGCATGGTCCAAATCCCAGGAACTGGCTCTGTCCAAGGTTGTGTAGCTTCAGGTGCTTCCACAGCCAGGATTTCTGCTCCCGAGATTCTGGCACTGGTCTGGGTCTCACCAAGTGTCCACGTGAATCACCAGGCATCTCTTGCAGTCTGCAAGGGAGAAATGAAGCAGTTTCATAGGATATTTGGTATTTCATGGTAGTCTAATTCTTGGTGTTTCTACTTTTAAGGATTTTTAAGGATTTTTTTTTAAGGATTTTTTCTCATTTTCAGAAATTTGATAGCCAAGGATCTCCCGGTTTATACTTACACTCAAGAGGGAGACCTGATAACTGAATATCCATACATTCAGGTAAGTTTAGATATATGTCAATGACACAACGTTGAGTAGAATTAAATTACCATCTTCTTTTCAGGATCATCTGATTATAACAACAAACCCAAGCAAGAAACATTTTTCTGTTTATTAGGCACTTTTCTAAATATCCATCATTCTTACATTTTTGTTTAAAGAAAGAAGGAGATTGCCTAAAGAGTTGGTAAGAAGCAGAAAAACAACTTCACATTGATGGGAGCAACACTTGATTTCAAACTCTTAACGTTTCTCAAATCTGTGCAATTTTATGCCATCACAAGAAAAAAACAAAAACCACTAGAAACACCAAAAAGGACTAAACCATCATTATCAAAATGCTTTATTTTCTATTATTGAAGACATCAGCACCGACTGGCATATTTTTTCCTCACTTCTTTGACCCCGATGAAACATTTTTTGATTTCCAAGTAGCTTTCCTAATTAACTCTGCTTYGATTTCTCCCTTGACTCCCGATTTTCATGTTTCTTTTTCATGCTGTACCACTTGCTTGGCCATTTGGGGCTTCTTCTTGCCCATGTGAGCTCATGATTTTTTCCCTATCACWTTATACATCCTCACTTCTTTATTTTCTACCTTTTTTTTTTTTATTTTTGCACATGAAATACTTGTTCGATGGGAGCTTTTCCCACTGGGAAGSTGCTGGAGTAGCTGCCCAGCACAGCAGTAAGTGCTGGGGATGCACGAGCTGCCRATGGAGTAACAGGGAGTTGGGTCTTGCAGGAGGACTGCTACTACGAGGGCACAGTTGAAGACTCCCCGGGGTCCCTCGCCTACCTCAGCACGTGCTTCGGCATCAGGTACCCAGCTATAAATCTTTGAGCATGATTTAAAAACACATTACAGACCTTTTAGTAGCTAGAGCAGAGATTCGAAATGAGCATCAGGATTTTAAGCAGAAATGAGCATCAGGATTTAGCAAAACCCTTGTCCCAAGAAGGTGCTTTAAATTCTTTCCTCATTGAGCAAGCAGCTGGAAGCTTTTGCATGCCTAGGACTAACTTTGCAAAGCAAACTTTCCTGTTTAGGTGAGTTCTGAGGCTTCAAATATATTCATTTATGATGCTGCATGCTCCGAATGCTCGATGGAAAGCAGGAAGGGCATCACTGCCTCTCAAAAACCAGTCTTCCCAAGGACACATCACTAAACCAGTGGTTGCCCATGAACATGGGAGCCATTTCTCTTGAGGTTTTTATTGGAAAACTCATTTACTGTAGAGTAATAGYCAAGCAAAAAGAAATACCCATGAAGATAAAGAGAATTTTTAACTGAACCAGCCCTGGCTTCACAGTCTAACTGAGCAGGACTGAACTTACAATATCCCACTACAACATTGTTAGTCCAAAGCTGTTGCTCTTCTCCAAAAATTTGCCCCTTAGGGACCTTCCCAAAAGCTCACGGAAAGGATGGATGTAGCAAAGTGCATCCATGAACAAATAAATAATGTAAAATCCCCTGTGCAGTCATGGGCTGTCCCTGCTGAATGCCAAGCTAGAAACCCGTTCCTCTGGGARCCACAAAACTCAAGTTTTTCCTGCTACCCCATTTACACCGTGTTTTTGTAGCCAACATCCCTAGGAAATGAACCGAAGTTGCTAAGTTTTAACCCAAAATCTAGCCCTTGTGCTCTAGGTGCATTTTTCCACACACAGTCTCACTCTCCATGAACTCAAAAGCCTGCGGAAAAGCAAATAGCTGCTCACGAGGCCGATCCCCATGAGATCCCCCTTCTCCATCCCTCTTCTTAGAGACGTGTTTGATGAGTTCCTTCTAAGTTCCCACTGGAACTTACAACAGGAGCAGCGTTATCAGAGAGATAAAATGAATATTTCCCTAACTTCCCTTCTAAAAATCATAAAATATGGGTTTGCCCAAAGAGCACTGAAGTCACAGAAGYGTCTTCTGCATTCCCAGCCACCGGGAAGATCCAGCATCTCCAGCCATGGGATCACGGGTGCCGTGCTCCCAGTGCAGATCCACAGCCATCCTTTTTGCCATCAAATCATCTTCTGTTGTATTTGGTACAAGAAATGAAATTTCGGATGAAATTGCTGGTTGTCTCTCATTTGTTTAGAATCTCTTCTAAGGGTTCATACACCTTGTTTCTTTTCATATTTATATTTTTTTTCCATATTTTTGGAGAAAAAATRTAGTTTTACCGAATGGCTTAGCTGCTTTTCTCTTTGCAAATTCGCAGTGGTGTCTTGCAAATTGGGGACTTGCTGTATGAAATCGAGCCCATTGAAAACTCCTCTTCGTTCCAACATCTCATTTATCGGAAGGCCCCAGAGAGCGACCCACCTCCTCTGTGCCAAGTGGCTGACAGCAGCGAAGTGCCTGGAGATGAGCACCTTTCCACCGGGAGCCGCACGATATACTCTATTGACGTAAGTATTGCTCACCTGCTAGAGTGGTGTTGAGTGTTGGTGTGTGCATAGAAGAATTATGGTGTTATCCCACTGGATTGGGATTCCTGAGGGATTCCAAGGCACGTTGCAGAGGTTTCAAGCTCTGACGTATTGGCAGGTCCGAAAGCTAATAGGATTTATGTGTGGTTATGGGCAAAGCACTGGCTCATGTGATGGAAACCAAGCTTTACTGAGAAGAGAAGATCCAATTCTCTTTCTCTGGGATGCTTCCTTCCAAACAGAGTTGTAAAGCATTTTAGAAACTCATCCACCCCTCGTTTACACCTGGTCCTGGAAGAGATCTTGACCTGGAGGTGCAAGGCACCTCTTGGGACATGGTTTACAGGCATGGTGTTGAAGGGTTTATGGTTGGACTTGATGATCTTAAAGGTCTTTTCCAACCGTAATGAGTCTGTGATTCTTCTGCTTAGTCACTCTTTATACTGTCTTAGTGTTTTACAGAGATTTCCGAGCTGAGAGGTGCAAGTGCAAGGACCACACAGTAAAGAACTGATTAATCATTAATTAGCAAACTAGGTTTAAATCACCTGAGGAGGTTTCAGAATCTTAATGCTCCAAAGACTTGTGTTAAATAACACTTCTTGAAGGATTGGTCAGGTAAAGTTCATCCTGTCCTGGGTTTGATCCTCTCTTGAGATCCCTTCCCACACAGATAACCTCAGAAATCACAAAAAGCTATATTTGATTTTTAAAAGTCCTGGCTAAAATGAAAATGGACCTTTTTATACTAGGAATAAAGAGGAAGGTGATACCTCCATCAGTTTATATAGATATATAATCTTACTGGGAATCTATTATTTGGCTGCATGACTCCAGAAGGAAAATGCAGATGTTGTCCTTGAATTAGGGTCACTCACTCTTCTCTCCAGACCTTCTTCTTCTAGGGCTGTGTAATCACAGAGCTGGGGATGGACAAAGCTCCATGTGTGGGTTGTGCTCCTGGGAAGTGGGTGTTATCAGCTTGATCTCCATCCCACAGGATTATGAGGTGATTTAGGTTGGATGGGATTTGGGGAGGACTCGGAGTCAACCTCTTGCTCCAAGCATGGCCAGATATGAGGTCAAAGGGAAACTCTTTGAGAAAAGTTTTTCAATACTTGAATCTTGTTGGTGCAACAATAACTGGGAAAATATGCAAAAGCCACCAGTATCTCACCACGATGAGGCTGCTCCAGCAGAAGACAATATACACAAGATCTAATGCTTTGATTGCACCCATAGAGTCAAAGAGAGACATGGGGCTGACTCCAAGTCTTAACTTGATCTTGAAGACCTTTTCCAACCATCATTATGGTAGGAAAAGATCTTCCAACCTACTATGATCCCACTGTAACAGATTTGTCCTGGAAAGATCCAGCTGAAAGTACAGAAAGGAGGCAAGGAGCAAGAGAGCAGAGAGTAGAGGAGCAGTTGAGCACCCCAAACTATTCCAGGTCATCTTGTTTAGCAGTGCAGCTGGTGGCTGCTCTGCTTCCTGGGCTATCACCCTAAGGATGGGATGACCTCTGCCCCTCACAAACGCAAAATGTGCTTTGAGGATGTGAGAAACCTTTTCTGGAGAAACTTCTGAAACATTGCAGTTCTGTTTGCACGGTGAGTGCTTCAGCATTCCTCTTGACTCCAAAGGGCTCCAGCTCCCTGCATCCCCACTGGGTGCCCTGTCTCTCAGCAGGGTTTTTGCTGAGGTCTTTGAGCACTGAGTAAGGGAGAAGGTTTCTTCACTTGCCCTTCAGGTGCTGCTCTTGTTCCAGCACCCTCTTTTCTTGCTTTTCCTTTTCCTCATCAAAACGTGGAGTCATTTTGAGGTTTGTCCTGACTTTCCTTGCACTTCTCTTGATAGAGCTGCTTGCAAATCTGCCTTAACCTCTGGCTCTTGGGATTGAGATGATGTTGAGCAGTTTCCAATCCAGACCTGACTCTCATGGGACTTCATTTAATGCATTTAATTCTTTACATCCTGAGGATGAACAGCAACAACTGCTCCCCCTGTCTCACTTCCTAACAATGTTCATATACATGCTATGGGAAGCAAAAAAGTCAGTTTGCTTAAACTGACTGAAAAAAAGGCTTAATGATGTCAAAATGTACACACCCCTTGATTTTTCTCAATTCAGAAACCCTATTTCCATGCTATCAAAGGCAATTAATTTGTACTGACACCAATTGTTCAATATTATCTCTTACTGATGTTGTTGTCAGAAGTGACTYGGTTAAAAAAAACATTTATCAGCTTTGATTTATGTGTGCTAAAAAGCACACATAGAGCTGAGGAAGACTTTTGTCATTACTGTTTCTGCTTTCAAAGTGCTGAGATAAAGCATTATTTTTGCAGCTGGAAGCACAGATTATTTATAGCAACAGTCTGCCCCACGTCAGCATGTTGTAACTGCAGCCAGAGAAAAAAATAGTGACATGAAGAGATRCTGCCTTCTGATAATAATAGGAAGTACTCAGAGGAAAGAATTACTTACCTTCTCCCATAGTGGAAATAAAGCTTTATAAATTACTATAATTTCATTGAATTTACTGAGAAGCTGCTGGAGAAAGGGAATAATTTCTAATATTAATAAAGTTGCAGTTGTTCAGCTGAGAAGAGGGATGAGTCTCCTGTTTAAAATGACTCCTAAGCCATATCCTTTCTTAGCAACGCGTATTTCTGTAACAGATGAAAGTCGTTGGGGACAAGAGCTTGGTGTCACTCCATATCCAGCCTGTTTACTCGTCCACCTCATGCCAAGGTCCTTCCTTGAGCTGCCTCCTCATGCAGCAGTGGTGACCATGCTCATCACTCCAAGCCTTCTAAGTTGAGCTTTATGGGATCAACAGTGATTTCTGCAGCTATTCCTTTATCCCAGGCAAGAAGATGGGACCCACCTTAGACTCCAAGGAATTTCTAAGCTCCATTTTCCAGTGTTTAGCGAGAAATACTAATTTCCAGAGATTGCTGGAATACAGCTTCAGTAAACGGCACCTTTCTGACTCAGAAGTTGGGTCTACCTCTGTGCCTATCCCCATTTCTTGTGTCACTTGGATGTTCTGTGTAAAATTAAAAAAGTCTAAGAATTAATATAGAGGCTTTCATGTGGCTTGGACAGTTTTAGTTCAGGATAACTTTGACTCCCTCAGCAATTCTCTCCTTTTTGAGCCTTGAACTTCTTGGTGCAGGTGGGAATATGTTGTCGACTCCACTCTATCCTCCCTTCAGATTTAATGATAAAGAAAATAACTGTGCAGCAGGAATAAAAATAGTGCAAATATTTTGCAATTCACAGTTAGATGGTATATAACATATCACATGTAATACATATAGTGCAATATATATAGTATTGTACATATATACAAAGTATTATATGCCTAATGTATAATACATGTGTGTGTGTGCATTTATATATATCAAATACGATCAATGACATTTATTACACTTGATACCAAGAATAGCTGACCTGTTACTTATTCTGCCTCTGAATATTCCAGGGTTTTCCCTGATAAGGCTCAGCATTCTTAGTTAAGGATGATAAGACTCAGTTAATCCTTATCCTTCTCTAATCCATAATTAGCACAGCGTATCTCGTATTCCATTTATTAATCCCAGGGAAATCCTGAATTTGTTGATAATGCCACCTGTGTTTTTGCCTTTGATCTGCAATTTGGCAGATCACGTAAAGATTCCCGAGTTTGCCCTAACTGTAGCTGTGATTTGTTCACTTCCAGGAAGTTTCCAGTCTGCACGAGCTGCAGGTGTCCATCAAATATTTGGAACTGGTTCTTATAACGAACAAGGAGCTGGTAGGTGGCAGCAAGTCATAGCCAGGGTACTTTGTTGGGAGTGTGTACAAGGACAAGTGCAGGGTCCTACACCTGGGCAGGAATAACCACAGGCACCAGCACAGATGAAGGGTTGAACTACTGGAGAGCAGCTCCACAGAGAGGGACCTGGGGACACCAAGGTGCACATGAGGCAGCAGGGCCCTGGTGGCCAAGGAGGCCAATGGGCTCCTGGCTGCATCGGGAGGCCGTYGGCAGCAGGGCASGRAGGGGATCCTGCCCCTCTGCTCMGCTCTGGGGAGSCCAAAGCTGGAGCCTTGGGGGCAGCTCTGGGCTCCCCAGGACAAGGGGCACGTGGAGCTGCTGGAGAGGGGCCAGCGCAGAGCGACAGGGCTGAGGAAGGGCCTGGAGCAGCTCTCGTGTGAGGAGAGCCTGAGCGAGCGGGGCCTGTTGAGGCTGGAGAAGAGGAGGCCGAGAGGGGACCTGGTCAGTGTGTGCAAGCAGCCGAGGGGAGGATGGAGGCAGGAAG